GAGAGAGAGAGAGAGAGAGAGAGAGAGAGAGAGAGAGAGAGAGAGAGAGAGAGAGAGAGAGAGAGAGAGAGAGAGAGAGAGAGTAGAGAGAGAGAGAGAGAGAGAGAGAGAGAGAGAGAGAGAGAGAGAGAGACAGAGAGAGGGAAAGGCCCTAGCGCAAAGCAGAGAGAGAGAGAGAGAGAGAGAGAGAGAGCGAGACAGATTATATATGAGTCTGAGGAAATGGACACGCTGCCAGCAACCAGGCTGAATTTGCATATACATTCAAATCACGCGCAACATGGTCCTTGTCTATGTCCGTGTCTGTGTACATATGCATGGAAGCTGTGCCCCAAACCCAGGCCACTGCTGACGAGTTGCGTGCTGCACACTCAGAAGTTGCGGAAGCTACGGCAACCTCCAGCTTCGCAAAGGTTGCTTTGTTTCTTTAGGCCGAGGATTTGCATAGTGATGTATACGTTCTCTGGGTGCTTTCTTTAGTTACATATATGTCAGCACACAAGGAATCTGAACCAGTGCCATCAAAGAAGGGAGCACGACCGTCTTCCACAGCAACTTCTCCGGCTAGTTCCACCACTTCCGTGCCAACCTCCCAAGCCCCTTCCCGAGCCCCTTCCCGGGCACCGTCGCGATCTTCCCTGACACCTTCACCGCCAGCTTTTGCAGAGAACCCTTCGAAGAAGCCTACCCCAAGTGCTCGTGTCCCTGTGGCTACACCAGCCCGTGGTGCAGCTGCACCACCTCGAGTTGTCATCACTCCGACCTCTACGCCTACGCCCTCCAGCTTGCCAGCAGGCCAGCCGACCCCAAGCCCAAGCAGTGTTCCCTCTTCGAAGCCCTCCACTGCCCCAAGCACCGCCCGGGCACTGCACCGCACAACGTCCGTAGCTTCCAGTGTGCCCGGGGGTCAATCTGGGGAGGACACTGACAATGAAGCTCCTAGGTCCCAATATTGTCAAGCAGGCATCATTTATGTAGTGTGTTGGCTAGGGTACTTGTTGTCCAATCATATGACATATATATACATATTTCATCTATATATATATATACTCTACATGAAGTCCTGCACCCAAGGATGTTTCGGAATGTGCTGCTGCTCACCGCTTGCGGAGACTATGCCTTGCGGGAAAGAACGGTAAATTGAAGGTACCCAGGGACGTGCACGAGGCATACAAGGCTGGCGGAACCCCGCGGGATGAGTTGTTGGAGCGGCTTGCAAGCCTGGGCTACGACAAGGCTTGCTGAAAGATTGCATGTAGCAGCAGCTAATATTAAGCTGTTTGGTTTCATGGTTTCTAGCCTTGTCTGCTTCACGGTTTGCTGAACCCAAGCCTTTTGCTTCTCTTGCTTCTATGGGTTCCTAGCAACACCCCTTTCAGAAAAAGTTCCTGGCCTTTGTCAACAAGTCTTCGGAGAAGATGAAGCAGCAGGAGGCGAAGACGGAGAAAGGTTGGCACACGAGGGGGACGATGAAGACAGAGTTGAAATGGTCCAAGCCGAAGCCTCAATTTGCCAAACCCTTATAAAGTCCCACTGAATGTCATAGGCTGAGCATAATTAAACTTGTAATTCCATGCAAGCCCTGACCCATTTCTCTTTATGCGCTGACTGGCTACAAGGAACTACATCGACAAGGCCATTGCCTACTGCGAGCAGCATGGACTCTGGAAGTGGCTAGGCATTGTCTAAGTTGGTGGATTTGTTGCAATGTGCCTATTCGCATCTATGCATTGTTGTAAGGCGTGACCTGTATGATTCCAAGCTCATCAAGTACCATGTTGACGTCAAAGAGGTTGGCCATGTGTTGGACCGGAAGACGGACAAGGAGACGCATGAGAGCCGGGAGGAGGCCACTTGCATTCGATCCCCAAACACAACTAAGAATTCAATGATTTCCCCGCAATGCTCGCTATACTACTCCCTTGTGTGAGCTAAGGTAGCCAATGGCCCCAAGCTTGCTGGTGACTGGCATGATTTCGGATCACCACCCAATGAGCCTGAAGCTTCCAGCGGCGCCGTTGCCAAAGGGGCTGGCAAAGGGCAGAACGCTGCGCCTGCACCTGCTGTGAATCTAGCACATTCCGAGCAGGCCCGGGATGGCGCATTCGTGTTGAGTAGGTTTCGGTGTGTTTTCAGGGTACTCCGCCTTTGCAATGTCAAGTAGGCCTACTGGGAAAGTCAATGTAATGTCAGGAAGCAAGTCTGCTGGAGAAAAGCATCGAGACCGCATTGTTCAAGATGAGCAAGGCGCACGAGCTTATCGGACGGGTGGAGGTGTTCGTGGATCCCAACAAGGACAATTGCCGGGCCAGGCAGCTACTTGTAAGAGCTCAGTCATCTTTCTGCACTCTAGAGGACTGTATGGGTGACTCAGGGGGCACGGGGACTTGATGTCTGGTCATGTTCACAACTGAGGGCTATCACCAACCTGGAGACCAAGCTTAATGGTGTGGAGCAGGGCTACGAGAAGATGTTAGATTTGCAAGCCCGCTTGCACAAGGAGGAGCACTCTGATGCGCTACTTTGCTGTGTGATTGGGTCTGCTAGTCTACAGCATGCTTCCGATGGAATGTGCACTCAGCTTCCTGACCCTGCAGCCCCATCAAGCACTAAATTAAAGTCGCTATCTGAGGTTGCAGAAGGAAATCGATGCGGCCTGGAAGGAGACATCTGTGGCGTGCTTTTGATGGCACTATACAGTTATAGTTTTAGAGATCCAAGGAATGCAGGTGCAAGATGACTAGACTTGGTCTGCCCCTAGGTTTCAATAGTCCCCTATATGCGAAACATACTTCAATGTTTCCTCTGCTCATTAGTCAGGGGTTCTACAGGGTTTATATTGGTTATATAAGTCCTTAACCACCCATCTTATGGTTCAGTGAAAGCCTCCCTCGATCCAGGTGCAGTCGCCTGCTCGCTGCGGAGAACCAAGCAAAGACCCACGGCTTTCCTTGGCAGGCTCTAAATAGGTCCCAGGTTGATTTACGTACATATCTCAGATTATTTGTTTGCTGCCTATCTATGCACATATGCCGCTAGCATGTATACGGCAAGTAGCTGTATATGCAAGCTATGAGTATATGCATATGTATATATATATATATATATATAGTGCCAAGAAAGTATATTCGCAATCCTAAGTATCTACTATGGGCATACCCTGGGTGGACTTGCTACTTCCTGTCTTTAGGAGATGTTTAGTTAGGTCTACGTGGAGTTACCTTGTTGGGTCCCTTGTGCCACGAGAATGAAATATAGGTTCTGTATGCGAATTCAAAATAGCATTTAGAAGGTTTTGCAACATGGGCTCTCGTTACTTGTACTTCTACTGCCCTATCTTCTCAGGGTTGAGGCTTTGAGTTTCAGGATCGCGGGCGAGCGTGCACGGGGTCTGCAGTTCGGGTTGCTGTAGCTGCATATGTGCTTACTGGCATTTTCCGGGGTGCTTGAGCGCTTCGAATAGTTCAGCATGGGTTGTGTAATTTTGTTAATTAAGGGACTCATAACCTTGCATGTTTTCGGGCTGAACCTCACGAAGGGTCTATATATACTGCATGTTCTTTGATATCATGCGACCCACAATGCAAGCCCTCAGTGCAAACCCAAACCCACTTGTTGATGAAACCAAAACCAAAACAGACTTTGTGCCTACTTGCGTTTACAAGCCGAAAACTTCCACTCCAATTAAACCCCCATGCATTCCCTATAAACAGAAGAACCAATGAGTGCTAGCTAGAATAGAAGCAACCCAAGCCCAGAAATTGTAACCAAAATTGAATTAATTACCTGTATTCAAACATTGCAGATGTTTCTGAACTGACCAGAGTGCGTGCCACATCCAAACCACTAGCCGTGAACCGTGAACCTCACAACATCCTGAACAAGCCATTATGGGACTCGGGGTCTGGACCTGAGTGTGCTTCTGACTACTCAGGGTTGGTTTATGTGTATGGGTTTTGGAGGGAGGGCTGGGCAGTAACTATGTGGGGCCTAGTTGGAATTGACTCAGGGTTCTAGGCTTCCTATATATAGTTTTCGAGTTGTACATGTGTAGCCCACCGTCTGTCTTACATTGTTTTAAATGTGTATAGGTGTGTACATGTCTATTTAGAAGCTTCGCTCAGGGTTGAATCCTAGCCGTATCGTGTGCTGATCGGGCACATGCAGGGTTCATGTTGCAATTCTTAGGTGAAGTCCCTACCCTACGCCCTCGATCTAAAACCCTGTATTTCAACTGACTTACATGTCCAGAGTCCAGGGGTCTACAGGAATGGCCATTCGATCGTGATTGAGCCTCCTAATTCCTTTAGCCAAAGTAAATTGTGAGATCGTGGGACCCTGGGACCTTCATTAGTTGCCTCGATATCACAGGCCCCTCAAGACAATAACCCCATAAAATACAACTAAGCACCGACATCTCCCTGCCATAGATGTGCTTGGGAGTTTAATTTGGGATTACATATACAGGGCTTGTTTGGGGTACACTTACATAATTTATACATAGGTCGAGTAGTCTGAGAGACTCCGCTGCTGCCGAGGTCCACAGAGAAGACCTTCAAGCAGCAGAAGGTGAAAAGGGAGACGCAGGAAGAGCTCTGAGAACAGTGCTTTCGCTGCGAGTCTACATCTGATTTTGGAACACCCTTCGCTAGACTACGATCATCCTGCTTTGTGGAAACAGCATAACATATATCCCTTGACTTTGATGCTGTACATCACCAACCCCAAAATAAGCAACCAGTCGAGCATCTTTGGGAGAAAGGGTGCCGGTTCCATCTGATGCACTGCGATCGGAGCAAGCTATTTTACTGTGAAGTTTGTGCCTCTAGCTACGAACGAGAGAAGCTCAAGGCTGCAAAGAAATTCGGAATGACGTGTTCTGCACACGAACCATGGGCATCACGAGAAAGGAAAATTGCATCCACTCGAGATCCTCACTCTTGTGCAAACCGTAGGTAGGTCAGGATCATCTGGGCCCCGCGCCAGGTCCAGATGATGAGATGCTATCTTTTGCCCGGCAGGTCGGCAAGGGGGTGCCTGGCTAAGAAGTGCTTCGTGCATCTTGCAGACATCGCGGACATATATCCACTGATCGCAGTTTGGGGCTCGGAAATAGGCGATGCAGGGAAATCTAGAAGAGTGGGAAGCTGACTTGTGGGACCTTCTTTATGGGCCCCTGGAGAATCCGCCTACTTTGCAGTCATGTCGTTCCGATGCAGTTATCCGTGGATCCAAGCGGCAGCCTGGCTCAGTGTGTATTTGTTGTTTTGTTCTTACCCTCCCTCTCTCTGTCTCTCTCAGCCTTTCTCTCTCCATCGAACCAGAAACCTACCTGGACCTGGGACAAATGTGTGAATTCGGAGCCCCTCCCTCTCTCTCTCTCTCTCTCTCCCCTCCCTTCCGTCTCTCTCTTTCTCTCCCCCTCCTTCCTCTCTCTCTAACTCTCTTTCTTTCTTTCTTTCTCTGTCTCTCTCTCTCTCTCTCTCTCTCTCTCTCTCTTTCTCTCGTTCTCTCTTTCTCTCTCTCTCTCTCTCTCTCTCTCTCTCTCTCTCTGTCTCTCGCTCTCCATCTGTCTGTTTGTCTATACTCCCTCTCTCTCTCTGTCGCACTTTCCCTCCCTGTCAGCTTCGATCTCCTATCTTATCTGAGGCTCAAGACTGGAGATGAGCCCGTCTCCTCAAGATGCACACCGCAGCTTGGCCAGTCGTCAGCAGCAGCTCAGTGCCGTCATGACCACTGGAGATTGTAGGCAGGCTAAAGTTATACAGTGAATTGCTAAAACAGAACATCGATTGGGGTCGCTACTCCTGCATGATTGATGTGACAGTGCAGCTCCAGGCTCTGTGTTTCCGTTTCAATCCGGGTTACTTCCTGAGGTTGGGCCAAGTTCAATTGCAGCTGGCATGACTTCGTGCTCCCCCTGTGAGCGGTTTGAGGCTTGCGAGTCTGTCACAGAAAAGGAAAGTTTCATACAGCAGTACCCCAAGATCACAGTTGGATACATGAAACCTGCTGCATGCCAGCCTACGGCAGGCAATGTTCTGCAGCACTGCAAACAGAAGCTGGAACGCTTGCGAGCTGAACTTGGGTGCCAAGTTTGTGTCTATAAGATAGGCTACACAAGTAACCCCATTCTGAGATTTAGGAGCTACGAGCTTGCAAATTTTTCGGTGATGCTATTGCTGCATGTTACACCGTGTAAAGGCACAGCACTCATGTTAGAGGCAGCATTAATTGATTTGAATATCGGTACTCCAGGGTGCCGAAATGAGAAGCCCGGTGGCGAGGGTGGTGGCCACATAGAGGCTGATCATGTTTATGTATATGTTGTTGCTGCACGGGCAGACCAGTTCAAGCCAATAGGTGGATAAATTTCCGGAACAATCCACTTTCAATTCGCTGCCCTAGGACAGCGCACTCGAGAAAAGTGGTGAATCATGACTGAGAGATGTGCCGCATCAGTTGACGCAGGGCTCGGTTACCACACTTGTGCATGTGTACCTTCTGGCTGTTTTGCTACGGTTTGAAGAAAATCCAGTTTCGCCCAGGTGCCCTGCAAAGACGTCATCCTCCATGCCCGGGCATCTTCTTCGAAGGAGAACAATTTGAATGTCAAGAAGCTGGGGGGTGTGTCTCTTGCACACTCCGAAGCTGGTGTGCACAAAGTTTTCGAGGAGGCAGGTTGCTCCTTGCCTGTGCGAATACAACATGTGGATCTGTGCAGCCAGAAAGCTGTTCCGTTTGTGACAATGTCATCCTGGGTGAGATTTTTGGCGAACACGAACCGGATGAAATATCTAGTTGGGACGTCTGATGCTTCCAGGCGCCAATCTTTGTGCGCCGAGTTCTGGGAACGATTTCGATGCATCCGGCCGAACCACCCCATCTTCGACATGAGCAAAGATCAAAAGCTGTTGCTCAAGGATGCAATTCCGATATTGCATCATGGAGATGAAGGCAGGAGTTTCTGTAAGAAGCCCATAATGATACTCAGCAGCCACGGAATGCTAGGCAGTGGCTGCAGCAAAGCTGATGTGAAGCAGGACTCCAAAATCAGTATGCATGAGAACCCGATGCTGCTCAATATGCTGGGTAGTACCATCACCACCCAGTTTATTTTTGCAGCGCTCCCACAGAAGCTCTACAAAGACACGCCGGAGGCATTAGACAAAATGCTTGCGATTTACAGCGAGGATTTGCGGGCTTTGGCCTTGGATGGGGTGCAGGTCGTCGAGGCCGGCAAAACAAAGAAGCTTTGGTTCTGGTGCCTGGGGGCAAAGGGGGATCTCCCCTATCTAGCCAAATGCGGCCATTTTACCCGCACATATTCCATGTGTCCGAAACAGTCCAAGTCAAAAAAGCCCTGCGGCGGCATCTGTTGGGATTGCCTGGCGGGAAAAGAAGGCGGTCAACAGGAGCATCCCTGGGAAGACATGCGCTTGACCGCATCTTGGATTTCAACCTGCGGTGTCGCACCTGCTTGGACAAATCCTGGACCTTTGCTGCGAATCCCCCACGACCGGGCAACCTGGTTCTACCGTGCTGACTTGTGGCATTGCTTCCATTTGGGTTGTGGCAAATCTTTCGCAGCATCTGCAGTGGTGGTGCTGCTTGAAGCTTTGGAATCGCTCAAGAACGTGGATGATAGACTCAACTTTATGAGTAGAGATTTCCAGGCTTTTTGCAAGAGAACGAAAAGCTACAGCTATGCGACATCAGTGACAAAAGATTTCTTGGGCTGGAAGAACCACAAGGACATGCCGCAAGGACATTGGCACAAGGGCTTCATCACAACAGTTTTGCTGGAGTGGCTGGAAGACTTCTTGACTCGACACTTCTTGGACACAAAAGATCCTTTGATTCTGGAGATCGTGTCTCTGCACATGGTAAATCAAGCTCTGCTGGGTTGTTTTTGGTTTGTTTAAAGACGATGTGGTTCTGCTAATCAATTACTCAATTAGTGGTATAAATATTGGTTTGACTTTTTGTTTACTGTCTTTGTCGCAAAGGTTGTTCTGCCACTTTCAGCTGTATAATAAATACAATTGATGTTTGGTCTCAGGCAGTTGGCACGAGAATGGCAAACTCGTTGATGCGTGGCCTTTACCACGCAGGAGTATGGATTCCATCAGTGACTGCAGCGACGTTGGCTACCAGAGGGCTCGGGTTCTTATCTTCTTACTCAAAGCTCGCTGAGCTTTCTTTCCAACGCAGCCTTCAACGTTTTTGTTTGATTCCGAAATTACACTTCTGCCACCATTTGATGGTGGAGCTCCACCAGCAGTCCCTAGAGGCTGCCTGGTGCCTTTCACCTCTTGCCTTTTCGGTCCAGTCTCAAGAAGATTACATAGGGCGACCTTCGCGAATATCGAGGCGTGTGAGCGCAAAGCAGACGCAAAGCTTGAGAACATTGCAACGCGTCCTCTTAGCGATGAAAGCTGAGTTTCACAAGCTTGAAGCAAGTGACGCATGATCCCAAAAGCATGGCACAGCAGTTCCGACCAATAAGTAAGCAGTCGAGTTTCGATCATGTTCGTCTTGTGCTTCAATTGAATGCATGGAGCATCGAAGTGCGTGTCTTGGCTGCACTGAAAATGACCTTACCTGCTTTTAGAGGGTAAAACCTCCTTACCCACAAATCGAGAAGGAACAGGTTTCACAGGTAAACCCGAAACTAAACCCTCAACGCATAAGCCCTAAATGTCCCAGACCTTCCAAAATCCCTTAATTAAGGAATATCCCTTAAATTATAGTAGGATCCTTAATATGATTTAAGGTATATTCCTTAACTAAGGGATTTTGGAAGGTCTGGGGTGCAACACGACTGAGTCGGCCATGGCTCAGACAGAGCACGTCAGCTTGGTCCATTCCCTGCGAGAGAGAAACTCCTGCATACGGTAGGTTGCGACTTTGCGGAGGGCTTTGCACTTAATAATGATAATAATGTAACAATACTAACAAACATATGTGTATATATATATATATATATATATATGTGTATATATATATATATATACATAAGCCTGAGAAACTACAAATATATTCCGCAGGGAACCAAAAACTAAACCCCAAATCGAAAAAAAGAAAACAACAAACCTATACACAAAATCCTGGCTCTGAAGCCGAAGCACACAAAACCAACTAAACCCCAAAGCCTAAACCCCAAACCCTAAACCCTAAACCCCCAAACCCTAAACCCTAAACCCCCAAACCAACTAAACCCCCAAAGCCTAAATTCCAAATCTCTAAACCCTGCTGGATCCCTTAAAGGAGCCCTATGCTGAACTTAGAACCCTAGCAAAAAATTATAATTTTAGCTGTTTCTTTGGGTTTAAAATAACCAAAAATTAAAAAATATAATTTCAGCTCTTTCTTAGGGATTATAATAACCAAAAATTAAAAATTATTTCTAGGTATACCCTTAATATAGCTATTATATACCCATTATATAGCCAATCATAGGGTAGGGGTCCCCATTAAGGGTCCCTCCTTTTCCCCTTTGATTAAAGGAGCACTAAACCCTAAACCCGAAACCCCTAAGGACCCCTTAAAGGAACCCTAAAGATCCCTTTAAAGGAACCCTAAGAGCCCTAAATTAAGGGTCCCTCCTTTTCCCCTTTGATTAACCAGAGCAGTCCTTCTCCAGGCAACTTCGGTGGGCATAGCCCAGTGAGCCGCGGCCTCAGCGCCGTTTCCCTACCCAAAAGGATCCTCGGTCCTCGGTACCTTAAACAGAACAGTACCTATAGGGTCATACCCTACCCCTTTTTTAAGGTGCCTACTTTTCTATATACGAGAACCTAACCATAAAACTAGGTATCCCAAAAAGGAGTAGGGTATGACCCTCTAGCTACTTATACCCCCAAAATAAGTTGCCTCTGACTTAAGGAATACACCTTAAACCGTAGTGATATAATAAGGCGCCTATAACATCATGTAACTATATTTCTTCTTTAAGCCCAAAGTTGTCGTTGATGTAGCCTTGGACTTGTGGATTGTCCCTTTGATCTATGGCGATTGCAATTCCATAGCCGTGCAACCAACTCAACCTGTTTGACTGCAGCGTAGCGGTAGAACGACCTCTCAAGACCGGTGATGCAGGCTCGAAGCGTGTCAGAGTTCGGCCAATAAGGGAAATGATTCGATCTATGACGCGTGCTGCAAGAATCAATCCATTCAGAGAAACATGTAGAATGCGTCACCGTCACCCAACAGTTCTTCTCTTCGGTTCTCAGATCCTCCAAAGAATCGCGTGAGCTCCCCTTCGGTCAGACCCGACCTCATGAACCCACTATACGCAGCGCTTCCTGCGTCATGGTAGCCGTCGCAACACAAATAGAAACTCTCTTCCGCATCGTCCGATCTGTCCCCGCATCTCTGTGGAACCCCTGAAGAAAACACCCTAAACCCAACCCTAAACCCTAAACCCTAAACCCTGAACCCTGAACCCTGAACCCTAAACCCTAAACCCTAAACCCTAAACCCTATAGATCCCTTTAAGGAACCCTATAGATCCCTTTAAGGAACCCTATAGATCCCTTTAAGGAACCCTATAGATCCCTTTAAGGAACCCTATAGATCCCTAAAGGGCCCTGAAGAAAGCTGCAAGCCTGAGGCCCCGGCATGGACAAGGCGACAGCAGCGCCTGAGAGGTCCGGTGGCTCCTAAACTAAGCCCTGCCTTAGGGTTTAGGGGTTTAGGGTTTAGGGTTTAGGGTTTAGGGGTTTAGGGTTTAGGGTTTAGGGGTTAGGGGTTTAGGGGTTTAGGGGTTTAGGGGTTTAGGGTTCAGTGTTTGGGGGTTTAGGGTTTAGGGTTTCATGGGGAACTACAGGTTAAACTTGTTGGTTATATAGGGATTATATAGAGACTATACTGCCCACTAGTGGAGGGCTGCACCGAGTCTTTTGCACTGACTCTCTCCACAGTGTCCCTAAACCGTAATTCCCAACATGAATGCTAAGGCCTACAAGAGTACTACAAGGGTTCCTTTAAAGGGCTCTATAAGGGTTTAGGGTTTTGGGAGTTTCCGGAAATAGGGGACCCTAACAATATAGAGTATATGATTCCTTTAAAGGGATCTACAAGGGTTCCTTTTGAGGCTGGAAGGCCCTAAACCCTAAGTCCTAAATGCCAAACCCTAGACTCTAAATGCTCTGAGCAAGAGGCCGGGCATTGGGTTTCAGGTCAGGGATTCAGGGATGAGGGTATAGGTCCCCCCCCCCCCCCCCCCCCCCGACTCCTCATTAAACGAATGTCGGAACCTCCGAACCTCGGAACCCCAAACCCTAAACCCCTAAACCCTAAACCCCTAAACCCTAACCTCTAAACCCCTGAACCCCCTAAACCCCTAAAACCCCTAAACCCTAATCCCTAAACCCCCTACACCCTAAACCCCTAAACCCCCTAAACCCGTAAAACCCCTAAACGCTAAAACCCTAAACCCTAATCCCTAAACCCCTAAACCCTAAACCCTAATCCCTAAACCCCCTACACCCTAAACCCCCTAAACCCGTAAAACCCCTAAACCCTAAACCCCTAAACCCTGAACCCTAAACCCCCTTAAGCTGTGAGGTGAATCCTCCGCTTCGCGCCCGCCATGTGCCGACCTTTCTCAGCTGCGTCCGCCAGCGGGGCCACGGTTTAGGGTTTAGGGTCTATAGGCTATAGGGTTTAGGGTTTTGGGTTTAGGGGTTTAGGGTTTAGGGCACTCTAAACCATTCACGAAACTCTACCTTAACCCTGAATAACCCACCTTTGTAGGGACTTGTATAGGGAAAGCATAATAAGGAACCCTAAACAGGTAGGTTCTTCAGGGTCCAGGTAAGCCCACCAAAAAGCCTCGGAGCCTAAAGGTAAAGACCTGACCTCAACTAGGATACCCAGTAACCTAAGAACAAAAAGGCCTCTCTTTTTGGTATTAGGTAACTTTATAAGGAAACTAGGACTACAAAAAGGGAATAAGGGTACTACTGGGCATCCTAGTTAATTTACTCGTAGCTTAGCTTAACACCCCTTATCTCCTCAACCTAGAGGTTGAATGTTTAGGGTTTAACCGCAGAACACAAGCTCTACATCCCAAACCGAAGGTCATGAACCCACCACACCCGCAGCTCAAACAAGCTTTATTCATGAGCCACAGAAGAATGAGGGAAGGTAAGACTGTCCTGAGGATGTGTGATCATGCCTGTTGCGGGAGTACACAGTGTCTGTCGCAGTCTCAAAGGGGGATCATGTTTATATGTCTAAGTGTGACTGCATGTATGCAAGTATGCATGTCTGTACAGCAACCACTCAAAAGAAGTTCGAATCCCCAAGACTAAGACTCAAACCACAGGGACTTCATAACTAAACTCTGAACCCTAAAATTGCCCAGGAATCAAGCACTGAAGCGACGCCTCCGGCCCAGCACAGAGGCAAATCCGGCAGCTAGGTCCAACAGCTGCCTGCAGTGTGCTTTGGGTTTTGAAAGCGTAGGGCGTAGGATTTAGATTTAATTTGGTTTCTATTTTGAGGGTTGTAGGGTTGAGAGCCGGGCTACAAAGGGAAGAGCTCGAATGGCTCTAGATTCAGATGAATAACCACTGTAACCACCACGGTTTGGAGCAAAACGAGCATACGAGGGTGGGCTCATGTTTGACGGGGTTTGCTCGGGCTCCGCAAGGGAATAACCCTAAACCCTAAAGCCTAAACCCTAAACCGAGCTAGCATTAGGCCCTCTCAGTAAGGTCCCTTTCAAGAGAGCCAGAAGTAGGGTTAAGAAGGGTCCCCCCCGAAATACTTCCTGTACACACCTCCTGTGAAGCCCTAGAGAGGCCCTGTGAAACCCGATAAACACCTCTGAGGCCATCGTAAAGACCTGACTTTTTTATGGACAGACTCATCTTTGCTCCGAACTCAGTTATGTGACGCACTGAAACCCCAACCC